ACGCCTGTCGTGAGGCGGGAAAAGCTCCCGTGCGTCACAGCCCCGGCTGCCCGGGGGAACGGGCTTGAGCTGGCGAGGGCTGCCAGCGTTCTGCTGCGTGAGCGTGAGTAATGCCGCTGCCGCCCGGATTATCTACGGCGCACAGAGGAGGGTCTGAGGCCGTGGGCTTCAGCATGAGACGGGATTTACTGCTCATTTAAAAGCTGAAAGCGGGTGGCTTTCTGAAAACTCCTCAGCCTTCAGGGCAGTCTGTCTCTCCCTGATTATCTGGTCGTATTTATGGATCCTTTGCCAAATATAAGGATGTTCCCGTCACTTCACAAATCTTGAGATGGGCCGCTTTTCTATAAATATCAAAATCCCACAACTATTTCATTACTTAATCCACATCTGAATTTTAACCAATTGCATCTTCCTTTTTATTATTATCCTCTGATGTAACCGGCCCAGAGACACATGGGCTGTTTGGGCGTGTGTGTGGTAGGGACACGGGGCAGAGGGTAGGGCGAGGTGCTCCCTTCACCTGAGGGACGATGCCCTGTGTCCTGGTTGGCCTGCTCTGGGCTTGAATCCCAGCGTGGCCATTCCCAGACCTGCGGTCCTGGGTGGTCTTCCATCTAGTCTCCGACCTTGGTCCCCTCAGCTGTAAATTGGGGATGATGAGTCTTTTTTTAAAAGCCTCTTAATAGCCTTTCTAAAAAGATAAAAAATAAAAAGTAATTTATTTATTTCTTCTATGAGAAAGAGAGACAGATGGGAGGGCAGGAGAGGGAGGCGCCCCAACAGGGTCTGCGTGCCGTGCCCTGCGGGCAGCTTGGCGGCTGGCTTTATGGACATGCATGCGTGCCTGGCCTGCCCGGTTGGGACTCAACCCGGGCCTTCCTGAGTGGCCAGGCAGCTACTGTATGCCACACAGCTGGCCACGGGTCCTGTGACGCTCCCAGTGCAAAGCTTTCGTGGTGGTAGGTTGAGCCAGACCCTGGCTCTCAGAACAGTGTCGCCTGCGCCACTCCCTGATGGCTTATCAGAAGGGGCCGTGGCCCTCTGCCAACCAGATGGAGAGGGCAGAGGGTGTGAAGGAGCCCGATCGCCCCCAGCGCCCAGCTCCCTGGTTCCTGCCCCAGGCCTGTCCTGACTTGTGCTGGGGCCTCTGCCTCCTTCTGTGCCCAGCACTGCTCGCCTGCTCTTCCCGCGCAGAAGTCCTCTTGGAGGCCACCTGGGGGCGGCAGGCCTGTCCACCCAAGGGCTCGGAGCCATGACGGGCTCTCTAGACACCCTGTGGCTGGGCCCAGCCCTGTGCTCAGAGCCGTACGAGGGGGTAATGTCCTGGGCGTGAGTGTCAGGAGGGCTTGGCTCCCTGGAGAGTCCATGGTTTGTGACCGTCCATGGGTGCCATCGTCCCTGGACCTCTGATCTGCTTTGACCACTGAGAGGCCTGCCTGGGAGCTTGACCGACTCCACAGGGCAGATCCCAGCAGGCCTGGCGGCACAGCGGCTCCACAGTCAGGCGGTCTCCATGGCTGGATGAGGCACCGGGCCTTCCTTTGGAAAGGGCCCTTGATGGTGAGCTGCGGCCAGAGAGGAGCAACGTGTCCCCCAGGAGCACACAGCACAGAGCATGCAGCATGCAGCGCACAACAGCACGCAGCACACAGCACAGAGCATGCAGCGCACAACAGCACACAGCACGCAGCACGCAGCATGCAGCGCACAACAGCACACAGCACAGAGCATGCAGCACACAGCACGCAGCACACAGCACACAGCCAACGACGTGCACAAGCCAGAGGCCGACCTGAGAGCCAGCCCTGCTCGGGGCCACTTCCCTGCTCAGGTTTCCCTGTGCGGTCAGCTCAGTAGATGGGCAGCCCAGGTCTGCCCTGCTCCTGCAGGACCGTCACCCGAGCAGGGGGCTGGGTGCTAATGCATTTGCACTGCCCACCTATGGTGTGGGCCTGGGCGTTTCTGTGAGATGTGCCCTCCTGTCTGCCCAAGTTGCACCCCCCAGACCTCTGTGCTGCAGGCTGGTTCCAGTGTGGGCTCCTGTGAACTGCAGCAAGAACCTGAGCCCAGAGTGGGTTCCAAGCTTCCTAGCGCATCCCCAGCACAGGCGACTCTCCAGCTCCCACTTCTATCCAGTCCCAGTCCCCAGGGCACGACACTAGTACCCCAGGGAGCAGCTGCTCTGCGTTCCCCATGGGGACTGCCTGGTGCACGCTGAGTCTTGGACAGCAACGGCTTGTCTGTCTGGCACCCGCAGGTGTGGGGACGGTGCATCAGCTCTGGGTACACTCTGCAGGTGGGAGCAGGTGTGGGGTGACTGTCCCCACCTCCCAGCTGAGGGTGGCCAGCTTGCAGGAGTGATCTTCGCAGGGAGAGCCGGGAGGCCTTCGCTCGCCTCCCTCACATGTGCTCCACCTTCCCCCAGGCCGGCGCGACTCCTCAGGCATCCGCCTGCACTACACGGCCTCACTGCGTCGCTTCGATGCGGGCATCATGGAGCTGGGGCTGGTGTACACGCCCGTGATGGCCATCCCCCCACGGGAGAGCGCCTTCGTCCTCACCGGCTACTGCACAGACAAGTGCACCCAGCTGGTGAGCAGGCCGGCCTGGCACCACACCCTCCCCGCCTCTTCCCTCCCCGCCTGCTTCTGCTACAGCCGCAGGTAGAGGTCAAGGGTGGGGCGCAGGGCTTCGGCTCCCTGACCCTCAGTGCCCCGGGCTGTGTCTTCCAGGACACCCTCTCTTCATGTCCAGGCAGCCTGTCCGTGGAGAGGCGTGTGTACCCCTTTCCAGGGGTAACCACCGTGCCTCCCCCTAGGCCACACCTGTGAACCAACACTTTCTAAAGAATTATTTTATTTAACTTTATTTATTATTATTTTTAAAAATATTTCCAGAGAGAGAGGAAGAGAGAGGGAAAGTGAAAAAGCAAGCCTCTGGGTTCAAGACTCGGACTTGGTCAGCTATGTGGGAGTCCAGCACCCTTAACTACCACACCTCCTGCCAGCCCCCACATGCTGCATCGTAAGACACGCTTTCAGGTCCAGCGGATGGCAGAATGGTTATGTTGCCGGACTCCCACGTAGTCGACCATAGTTCAGATCTTAGACCCAACTCATGCTGGGCTTGTGTGCACGAGTGCCCAAGATCCCAAGAGGAGAACGGAGGAGACAGGATTGCAGCGTCTGTTCCCCACGCCCTTCCCCCAGGAGAGGGTGATTTATCACTTCTATCTCTCCGTCTCTGTCTCTCCAGCAAGTGCATGCACCCTATAGCCAAAATCTCTCTAAAAATAAAAAAGACACACTCATCATGCAAGCAGCAAATAGACACATGTACCACTGAGTACACAGCACTGCAGCCACAGCGACACGCTGCCAGCCTCCTCCCCTCACCCCGCCACGCCACCTACTGGCTCTGCGTCTTTTCTCCTGCATAGTCCACGGGTCCTTGTCGGCCATGGAAGGCCCTGCAAGTTTCATGGTTATTTTATTTGTTCTTTATCAGAGAGAAATTTTTGCTATAGAGCACATATACTTGCCAGAGAGACAGAGACAAAGAGACAGGAAGTGAGGATTCACCCCCAGGGAGCATGGCCGTGCTGCAATCCCTTCTCTAGTCTCCTCTCGGGATTTTGGGCACATATACCCGGCGAGAGTTTCAAGTTGTCGGGTCTGGGACTTGAACCGTGCTAGGCCATGTAGGAGTCCAGTGATGTAACCATTATGCCATCTGTTGGTCCCCTGTAAGTTTTGTTTTGTGTATTTTTTTAAAGAAAACATTGAGGGTCAGCCAGCGTGGTGGTTAAGGCAGCTGGATGCCACGTGGCCGACTGCATGGTTCAAGCCCCAGACCCAGTGGCTTGAAAGACACACCTGGTTGTGTGCTTGTGGGCCCTACGTCTCGCGACGGGAATGGAAAGGAGGGGCGATTCCTCATTTTTGGATATCAACAGCTATTCTCACTCTTTCTCTGGGGAGCACACACACCCTATAGCAAAAATTAAAAAAAAAAAAAAAGGAACACATGACACATTGTGAGTAAATGGAGCGTCCATCCCTGACTCCCCTTGGCTGTGGAGTGTCCACCGTGGGCCGGCCTGTGTGCCGACCAGGGCGGGCCCAGAGAGGCAGAGAGGTACCCAGAGCTCACCCCCGCCCCAGCCTGCTTTCATTCCCCTCTCCCTGGTGAGCGTGCCTGCCTCTGGCAACGATTCACAGCAGCGCGGTCCAGGGCCCAAGGTCAGGCCTCGACCGCGCCCCTCACCCCCAGGCACTGCCGCCCTCCGGGGTCCACATCTTCGCCTCTCAGCTCCACACGCACTTGACGGGGAGGAAGGTGGTCACCGTGCTGGCCCGCGATGGCCGCGAGAGGGAGGTCGTGAACAGGGACAACCACTACAGCCCCCACTTCCAGGTAGGCCACTCCCAGGGCCGCTGGCCCTCTCTCTCCCGACAGCTGTGGACGCTCCCTGGGCCATGGCTCCCTCCCCTGGGCCAGGCCCCAGCCCCCCAGAAATGCCCTGACAGCACCCCGACAGCAACCTCAGGGAAGCGGCTTGGGGCTCACCCTGTCTCATGAACCTTCTGGCTTGGACCACCCCCGCCCTGGCAGGGTCACAGTGGGGAGGGTGGAGGAGGTGGTGGCTGGGCAGGTCTGCAGGGCGGTGTCTCCCCTCTCCCACCAGGAGATCCGTATGTTGAGGAAGCTCGTGTCCGTCCACCCGGTAAGTGCCAGGTGGGGCTGGGGAGCGTGGCCCAGGGGTCAGGGGATGAGGACGTGGGCAGGGGTACACGCACTACTGGCCCATGTAAGGGTCCTGCTGGACTTCGTGGGTAGTCACTCCCTGGGGGTACTCGGACAGTGACCGTCCTGTGTGGGGGCAGAGGCCACAACGGAGCTCCTCAGTGGAGGGATGCCAGCCGCCTACCCATGGGCGCCAGACACGTAGCAGCCAGGTCACCCACGGGTGGGCCTTGTGCACCCTCACCAGCAGGAGGGCAGGTGCTGAAGGCGTCTGCTGGCTTTGCTTCCAGGGGGATGTGCTCATCACTTCCTGCACCTACAATACGGAGGACAGGAAGCTGGCCACTGTGGTGAGTACCGAGTCCTCGCTGCTGCCTCTGGAGACGCCGTTCCTGAGCACAGGTTTGAACTCCTCCACTCGAGCGGAGGTTGCCGGGGATGGGGGCCTCTCTCGGGCACTGGCAAGCGTGGGCCCCAGCTTGGCAAGGGAGCTCGTGTGCACGCCAAGACAGGCTCTACCCATACCTGCTGGGTCCAAGATGTGGGCCTGGGCCGGGCACTCATGGGCACCTGAGAGCAGGCCTCAGCCCCAGTGTGCGGCCTGGGGGGAGACAGGCCTAAAGCACCTGCTCCAAGCCATGAGAAGGTGGCGATCGGAACTAAGCACCCGGGAGCAGGGCCGGGGGAGCCTTGCAGATGGAGCAGGGAGGGGAGCGGAGGCACAGGTGAGGGTCAGTGGGGTGAGGGCTGCGGGCCTGCGGGTGACCACTCTGGACTGGGGACAGAGGAGAGCTGAGGGGGAGGGGCTGCCAAGGCCCGGTGTGCAGGCGGCACCCAGGAAGCGGGCACAGAATGTGAGTGAGAGGTGCTCTTAGCTACGCCAGCCCACAGGCCACCAGGCGTCCAGGCTGCCTGGCCCACACCACGCCAATCGTCACCGCTCCCGGAGCCTCTGCTGTGGTTCTTGGAGCTCAGAGGCCAGCAGACCCCGGCTCTCGTGCTGTCCTCCGTGTTCTCGCTCACGGTGCACCCACTGGTGCTGGCAGAGCCCGCCTGTCCGCGGCGCGGTTTTGGTAGCTGTGTCGAGACGTACTTCACATGCCACAGTCCGCCGCTTGAACTGTGATTCTGAGAGTTTAGGCAGTCTCGGGAATGGGCCCGTCAGCACAGCCAGCCTTGGGACGGTCCTGTCCCCGAAGAGACGCTCCATACCCTCTGGCGACCGCCTCTCTCCTCCCCTCCCACCTTGGCAGCACCACTGTCCCGTCCGAGGGCTTGCTGGTCTGGAACCGCGCACTGTGTGACCCTTCGTGGCCGGCCCTCCACTTAGCTCGGTGTTTCCGAGGCGTGTCCCTGTAGTGAGCCCCAGGCTGTGTGTCAGTGCAGGGTGGGGGGTCCACGGATGGGCCACGGATGGGCCACGTCGCATCCACCCCTCGGTGGCTGGTGGACATTTGGGGTCGGCTGCCCGTTGAGTTGTGCAGCGGCCTCCCAGGCAGAGGTGTCGGCTGCACTTTGACAGGTGAGAGAGGAGACTCAGATGGAATGCTCTTGCCAAGGTCACACAGCTGGCACCAGGCTCAGCAGGGCTTTAACGCAGGGCCGTGGGCCCGCAGACCCTTGCCACACCCTCCCTCCCTAGCTCTGGATTTGGGGTGGCAACCGCTCTGGCCTCTGGTCACATGGGGGTGGCCGAGCACTGGCCCCTGGTCACATTGGGGTGGCCGAGCTCTGCAGGCATGGAGCCAGGCTTCTGTCCCAGCCCACCCTCTGTGACCACAGGAGGAAGGGCGCAGTGCGAACCAATGGCTGCGGTGTAGAACCTTTCCCGGGCTCGGTGTGATTCCAACAACTCATCCTAGCCACGCCGAGCCTCAGCAGCACCTCTGAGCCGGAATGGTCTGGAGACACAGGCGGTCCAGCCAGGGTGGGCACACAGCCGACCAGTGGCAGGCCCAAGCACCAGCCTACCGCGTACTGCCCCTCAGTGGGGGCTTGGTACAGTGAATGCATGAGCTCCCGGAAACAGCGCTCATGGGTGGAGGGCCCTGGGCATGATCCCCGCACAGGCCCCATCCTGTAGGGGCGGCCCCTGCAAGCCAGGGCAGGCGAGGGCCTTGCCGGACGCCCAGCGAGCAAACAGTGAAAGGGAGCCCTGGGCCCACCTGTGGCTCCGCGGAGGCTGCGTTGTGCTAGCCAGATGTTTGGGTGGTCAGGCCTGGTGAGCTGACGTCCTAACCCAGCTCTTCAGGCCCAGACCTCCGGTGCCGGGGCTTCCCTGGCCCAGGCTCGTCAGGCAGGACCCAATGGAGGGCAGGTGAGCACTTCCCAGCCCGGCCACAGCCCGGGACCTGCTGATCCAGGCAGAGCCTTGGAGATGTGACTCCCCTCCCGGGGAAGGGGCCGGGGCATAGCCACACAGACCCGGGGTTCCCGTTTGCAGTAGGGGTGGGTGGAGGGACGGGACCCCAGGGAGGGTGGGGCTGGTCCCCAGGACCTTAGGACGTGAGCGCCTGTGCAACCCAGGGGTGCCGCCTCGGCCCTGCCCATCTGCCCACAGGGACTTTTCTGTCTAAACAGCTGTGCAGGCCATGCTGGGTCCTGCGCTCGGGCCCAGGCAGAGCCCCTCGGCACTCTGTGCACGGGGAGGGGCAGCAGTGGCGGCGCATGCTGAGCGTCCACGGGCCTTTCGTTCCACAGTAAAGACGCAAAGCCTTCCTGGAACTCTCCTACTGACCGGACACCATCCTCAGATCTGCATCAGCTGCTCCCCAGAGGGGCCTGGAGCCGCTGCTCCTCCAAACTGCAGACGCCCCTTTCTCCCGGAGCCTCGGCTCCACTAGCATCAACTCAGGGCGCAGGGAGCTGGGGCAGGACTGCAGGTCCCCCTGCCCCCTCCACTCCACGTAGGGCTGCAGGGCTGCCCTGAGCTGCTGGAGGCTGCTGTCACTGCCCCAGACACTGGCTCCTCTTTAGGAGCCCGTTCCCCTCAAATCCGAGCTCCGGAAGTGACTGCGTGGTGGTGCGGGGCAGATCTGTAGGTAGAGGGGGCCTCCAGCCCCCTCCAGCCCCAGTGGAAAGGCTGTATCCGCTTAGCCTGTGCCGCTGACCTTGCAGCCACCACAGGGCTTGCCCCTTGCCTGAGACTCACCTTCTGTGCCCGTAACATGGGCACAGTAACACAGATGGCTCGCCTTTGTGACATCATCACCCCTCCATGTGTATTTACTGGTTAACTCGTTGCTTGTCTCTCCTGCCAAGGGTGAGAGCCCGTGGGGGCAGGGCCCTCAGTCCCCGCGCCATCTCCCGGGTCTCAGAATGCTGGCTGCCACTGTGCTACGGACGATGAACACAGGGACAGTGCAAGTCACTGCTGGGCACGGCAGCTGGGAGCGACGTGCCCGGGCTGACGGCCTTGTCCACCTGCAGGGCGGCTTTGGGATCCTGGAGGAGATGTGTGTCAACTACGTGCACTACTACCCCCAGACGCAGCTGGAGCTCTGCAAGAGTGCTGTGGACGATGGCTTCCTGCAGAAGTACTTCCACCTGGTGAACAGGTGCAGCGCCCGTGTGTGCTCTCTGCCCCCGGGACCTCCGGCATGGAGCTCCTCCCCACCCCGGCCACCCCCATAGCCTGCTCGGTAGCTGGACAAAAGGAGCAGGGTTAGCATGCACGTGGCCAGCAGGCCTCCACTCCTGAGGTGCCCGTGTCAGACCTCACTC